CCCTGGGCCTTGGGACCTTGGGCTTTATCAGTTTCCCTCTAAGAGGAGAATCAAAATAGGTTCCAGCCTCTATGATGACTGAGTGGCTTTACAGCGGCACATACAAAAAGCTTAACAGTCATCGCACAAAGCAAGGGCTGGCTAATCGTCAGTAGGTATTTTCAATGGCTGAGACACCTGCTAGAGCAGTGTTTTCAACCCTGGATAACTGCACCCCATAATCCATGGTTGTGGGGAGCTGTTCTACACAGTGTGTGATGTTTACCAACACCTCTGGCCCCTCCATGTCCCAGATGAAAACAGTGCCTTTGCACAAGGTATGATAACCGTAAATATCCCAGGACATTATCAAATGTCTCCTGGGAGCAAAATCACCCCTGGCTGAGCAGCACTGATGTGGAGATCCAGCACTGTTATGCGTGATACTGCTAACTGCAGATAAAATCCTCTTGACTCTCTTTGCTTTGAGCAATTATTAAATGCTATATTGGATGCATTTTATTAGTTTTCTAAGACTTCACATCCATTCCCTTTCTGCTGGCCATAGCAGGCCTTGGGTGCCAGGGGAGGAGCTCCTCATTCTATTTGTGTCCTATGAGCTTTGTGTAAAGTTCTCAGTAAAAAGCCTAAATGGAAGGGTGGATGTCATGGTCACTGCCCGATAGTAATTATCTCCCTTCCACTGGCTGATGGTGTGGAAAGATCCCAAAGCTCCAGGAGTTCATCAGTTGGAACCATAATGTAACTTCCTAGAAGAAAGGGGATTCTCAAATGAAAACCCAAGACCACCACCTGGACACTGAATCAAGCCAAGCCTGAAGCCATCTCGAACCCCAGGCTGAGTTACATAAGCCAGTGAGTTTCTTTTCTGTGTCAGTTTGGGTTGATTCAAGTGCCTGCTACTTCCCAGCTGTTTTCACATGTGCCTTTATTGAATCTTCATAATAAATCTCATGATAAATAATACATTGTCCCCATTTATAGGTGGCAATGTTCCCACAGCCCCTGTGTGGCAAGGCAATAATTTTACTTCACATTCTCCAATTCCGAGTCCATTTTATTATGAGCACCTCCCTGTCAGCTGTGCTGGAGGGAACTGGAGCCACCGAGCAGGAATAAGCTGGATGTGAATAAATCTTTGCCCAAGGTCTTTGGGAAGCAGAATCCCTGTGTCCTGGGGAGGACAGTCTTAAAGGTTTGCAGATGCATGTTGGATATATGAAAACCGCCTGGAGAAACTCGGCTCCTGCTCATTTCTTGAAATGATAGAGGAAGAACATTCTATTAGGTAATATGAAACTGCCTTGTTTTGCACACATCCAAAAATAGCCAAGGAAAAAATTATCTTCACTAACAAAAGTAAGGCAGAGAGAAACCTTCACGCTTGGGGGAACACAGATGATCTTATTATCCTAGCGCCTTGATGGAAACTATAAAAATTCATCTCTATTTGAGTTTCAGACAAAATACAAAGTGGTCATATTACCTTGGGTTGCCTGTGTCCTGCAGGGCCAAGTCCTGCTCCAAAATGATCAAAATGGAACATCAAAGACACTTAGGAGAACCTGGCACCCTCACAGGTCACCACCCTGCAGGGAAGATCTGGCTCAGATACACTTGAGCATTTTGCCCAAAGTTAATCACTAGGTTAGGACCTAGGTCTCTCTGAGTCCTGAAGCAGTGCTCCTCACTCTACACATGCTGCCTGAGGAATAAGTCAGAGCTTAAGAGCAAAGTCCCCTCACTGCCCTTCCATTCATTGCCAAGTCTGAACCAGTCAAGCAAAGCATGCCCACCACATGAGAAGGCTCTTCAAAATCAACAAACATTCTGTGTTCCCACAACACTGGAGGCACAACTCTGTATGCCCAGACTGTGGGTATTCTAACCATCTAATTGCTGGAGTTCTTAGATGGAATTCCCAGAAGGACAGACCACTAAGGGGCCATCAAAGTCATGGGATGAGGCACTTTTTTCATTTTCCAAGTCAATACTTTATATCTTTGGGTCAAAGACCATTGAAATAATTCTGGAATTGATGTCTCCAATAGATCAACTCTTTTCATGTACCATTTCGTTTGCTTGAGCTACTTCTGTATCTTCCCATGTCCACACCCATCCCTCAATTCTATTATCCACTTAACGATTCTCAAATGAAACTGGTGGGCACCACTGGACACTGAAGGAAACCAAGCCTGTAGTCATCTAAACTACCCAGACTGTGCATGATGTAAGGCAAGGAAATTTCTCCCCAGAGCCACACCCATCCCTCTACCCTACTGTCCACATAATGGTCAGAGTGACCTACCCAAAGTGGGAAAAAAATTCTATCACACACACACATACACACAAACAGACACACACACACACATACACACAGGGAATTAACACATCTGCCCAGACCCAAATCCACCTGCCTACAGACCTCTATGCTTTTTTACAGCACTTAAGAGAAACGCCAGTCTTTTAAATAATCTGTTAGATCACAGAAGTCTTACTAGATTTCAATATGAATTAAACTTCTGAATGACATAAGTAGTATTGATTTTATACCTGGAATCTTGTGCCCCCCCCCAAATCTCAAGATTAATGAGATAATTTTTTACAGTTTCAAAAAGTCACGATACACTATAAAGATTTTACTTACACTTTAGTTTGCACTGTTTCCTATACATAGTACACTAAAGAACAATTGAAAAATAGCAGTGTTTGAATAAATGCCTCTCCTTATCATCCCATAAGTCCTGATGGATGCAAAATTCTACTATATGTCTATAAGAAATAAGAATGGGGAATCCATAGGTAATGGAAAGTATGTATTTATTACAGAATATCTAGATTTTACTGGTTACAATTAATATAGTAGTAGTAATACCTGATAATCTATAATAATAATTTATGGCTCACAGAGGGTAGAATATACCAATGTGATCAAACCAATGCTTAAATTACTAATAGGTTTCTCCCTCCAGGAAAATCAGTAGGCAATTCTGGCAAAAGAAGAGCATCACTGGGTACATTTGGGTTTGACTGTTTTTTTCCATTTTTAGTGACTTCATTGATAACGTAGGTGAACTGCTTTCATAGCTTTTTTCCCTATCTTAATACACTTTGTTAAGTGTATTAAATTGAGTAGATAGTACTGAAGGTTACCCTTAAACAGTTCCCTTATTTTCAATATCCTCCCAGCCCAGAGAAGTGAATGTGTTACAATTGATGACCACACCCACCAATCATCACCCAAAGTCCACAGGTTGTGTTAGGGTTCTCTCTGTGTGTCGTGTGTTCTATTGGCTCTAGCAATTGTATGATGCCAGGTACCCACAACACAGCACCCTCAAAGGAGTGCCACTGCTCTAAAGGTCCTTGTCATTTCATTACCTACTCATTTTTCATGTCCCCAATCTCCAGCAACCACTGATCTTTTTCACTATCAAGTTTGGCCTTTTCTAAAAATGTTGGAGAGTTGGAGTAACACAGTATGTAACTTTTTTCTATGGACTTCTTTCACTTAGTAATATGTATTTGAGTTCCTGCTATATCTTTTCATAGGTTAGTTATACATGACAGTAGATTCCATTTTGATATAATTATACAGCATGAAACATATCTTATTCTAGTTAGAATCCCATTCTTGTGGGTGGACATGATGGTGGGATTCACTGTGATGTTTTCATATATGTATACAAGGGAAAATGTAGTGATGTCTGTCATCTGGGAGATTCATTTCTAGGTCTTCAAAATAAAATAAACCAGAGAACAGCTGTATGGGAAGGATGAATTTTAAAACTTTCTAGGATAGTTGTGAGAACAACAAATTATTTTGAAAAGTATATTTTGCTTAATTGAGCCTTGTATAAAATAAATAGATTAATTTGATGGGAGCATTACTGTCCTCTACTTGCAGGAACTGGGTCTTAGGTAGAGATTAAAGTTCTGTTTTTACTCTCCCTACATCAAGTATCATTTTCCTATAGGAAGAGCTGCCCTGTATTACAAAATTTTATTTTCCATGTTGTAAGTTGGCTTGTTTTCAATCTGAATGTAATTTCAGGCCACATGTAGAAGGGTTTGCATTTCTTAAAGCTTAATCATTAGAAAATTTTAAAATGTAAAATGTTATCTGTCATGTTTCAAAACAGAACTAAAATTTGAAGGAGGAAGAGGTGGAGACTGCATAGCTACTGTGGGCACCATCTTCCCTCCCACAAAAGAAGAGCATCACTGGGTACATTTGGGTTTAACTGTTTCTTCTTGGTGCTTTGTGGCCAAGAGATAAGTTTGACTCTGGGATTCTGGATGTCCCAAAGACAGATGTACTCAGATGTAATCTGCAAGGCACATTCGCCATGTACATCTAAGTTAGGAGATGGCATCAAATACACATTGAATCTCTCTGGGAGAAAAACAAAAGGTTAGTCCAAAATCCCCAGGAATAAAACATCAAAGATGCTGTAGGAACAGAGAAGCATTCTCCTAAAGGGAACAAGTGGTTCTTGGGGATGGAAATGAACAAGCTTCAGAATCAACCTCTTCGGGTGCTTATGTCATTCATTGTAGTTTGAGCAAAACAGAACTCAACAAACTGCAACTCGAAAAACACCAGTGGTATTTATGATCTACCATTTGAGTTGAGATGAGGAAGCATTCCCCCAAAACCAACATGGAAGCTTTCCAAGCACTAGATTCTGTTTAGCTTAGCCCCATAGGCCATACAAGGTCAGATTTTTTTACCCAGTTCGACTTCAGTGTGTGGTACAGAACCAAACTGCATAATGAAAATTCACATCACAGATGCGAAACATTAGACCCCTCCCCAGGAAATTGGCCACACTGAATACATGGATATTCTGCACCACCCCTGGCCTTGGAGAACCACAGCTCTGGGGGTCTCCCCAAGTGAACTTCAGGATTCCTCCCGCAGGTGAGCCTCCATCACGGGAGCCTGGAAGACAGAAACAAGAGCTGAGAACAGGGGCATTTGACATCCTGGCACTCACCTCCCTGCCTCAAAAGTGAACCACGTGGTGTCACGTCCATACCGCCGCAGGGCGCTTAGCGGCCAAGAGATGAGTTTGACTCTGGGATTCTGGACGTCCCAAAGACAGATGTACTCAGATGTAATCTGCAAGGCACATTCGCCATGTACATCTAAGTTAGGAGATGGCATCAAATACACATTGAATCTCTCTGGGAGAAAAACAAAAGGTTAGTCTAAAATCCCCAGGAATAAAACATCAAAGACGCTGTAGGAACAGAGAAGCATTCAAAAATAATTCAAGCTCACATTATAGGATTTGGTTGAGTACTGAGGGAAACCAATGTTTCTCATAAACAAGCTGTCCCAGGAAATGACTTTTAAATGCAGACCCTATCAAATGAGATAATAATGATACACCCTGACTGTCAACATACACTAAACACTATTTACATGAGCAAAGAACATTTTTAGACTTTGTAAATTTGCATAATAAAAAGTATGTATGCCAATAAAAGACTAAAGCAAAGAAACCTTTAAAAGCTTTTTTTTTCCCTGCCAAGCACATATTAATTACATCTACGTCTTTGTGTTCATAAAAGATGCAGGTGCTAAATAATCATGTTATGGTTTACTAATACCAAAGTCATACTGATCAACTTATAACTTCTATAACTAAGCCAATAAAGTTGTATCTCAAATTATTTTTTAAAAAAACTTCACATTCATACTATGCAATTTAACTGACAAAGCATTTGGAAAAACACCACAGGACATATTTGAACTAGTTTTAACAAAAAACTTTCTTTAGCCAATTACTGGAAAGAAAATATTCATTTGCTTGTTCAGATGGTGGTTATAAATGTAACCAAACAACTGCTTGGTTGGTTACTGCAACCAAATTTCATCCCCACAGATACATTCACACAGAATTTTTGTTGTATTTCTAGACAATTCATTAACACAAGAAGTTACATAATTGAAATCTTTAAGTGATATATGAACATATATTGTTACTGTAGCAAACACATCTCCACCTAGCAAGCCATCATTATGGTAGACTGTCCACATCTGACAAAAGAATAACAACTATTATAAATTAATGGTATTATAAATTAATTGTTTTATGAGATGATGAGCAATAGATTTTTATAGATTTTAGTTGAATTTAGTGAATAGATCAAGACTATGTTCATGAACTGTATCCATTTAAATTTTCTAAATCATTTCAAACTCTCATTCATTGGATAGTTGCTGCTTTCCAGTAGCAATTATTTTAAAAATAGAATCTAATAGAGCAATTTGCTCCCTTGAGAGTTCTGGACCAAGTAAGAAAGACTGTCTCCTTAAGTAAAAAGGGAGATGATCACCAATTTATTTGCTTAGAAGTCCCACAATTCTATCTCACTCAGGAAAACAATAATAGTAGAGGGAGTGACCATTACTTCACAATTACATCACGATTACTTGAATTTCTACAAATTAGGACTGCAATGTATTTTAAAGGACAAAGTTGAGTTTCATAATGATACCTAGTAATTACACACCAGGGGTATTCTTACTTCCATTTGACTGAGAGGAAACAGGCACAGAGAACTGGCAGGGCACAGCAGCTCCGAGGCAGAGCTGAGTCTTTTAATTCAGTTTGTCGTGCCAGTAGGATATTATTTCACCAATACAAATTTGGGAAAAATAAGTGCTGATCTGAGCACTCTATAAAACAATAATAATCAAACCTTTCCTGTTTTCCTTGCTTTGTTGGGCTCCCAGGCATTCATCTATGAGGCTGTGGGTGGACCTCTCTTGGCAGGGGTTACCCCAATTTAGTTAACCACAGGAGGAGGAGTCTGGGAGTTGGGGGATATCCCTACAAATGACTTATCCTCTCTGGGATTCAATCTCCCGATCTGCAAAGAGGATCCATAGAATCGTCCCCACCCCTGGGTCCTGGTCAGTAATACCAGTGGAGATGGACTGTGATAGGTATGTACGTCCAATACAGCTGCAGATTTTGTGTGAACACACAGCTGCACCAGGGAGGGGGAGCATGCTTTAATAACCAATGAAGAGCTGCCTGTGGAGAGGTCGGAACAGGTCCACCTCTGCATTTCACCACTAATTCAGGTGACCTGCCCATGATCAATCCTCTTGGCCCAAGTCAGTCATTTAGCAGATCCTTGGGGCCCAATCTACCCTGTCACAAGGCTTGGAGATGAAGTAATTATCCCAAGCTTTTTCAATAAACCAACATTGATTTTTGCTAAAAAGTTCCTTTATATTTAGGTCATTATTGTTTTAAGTGATTTATTTCTAGGTCAAGAATTGAGCTCAGAGTTTGGCTCATGCATTTCAGTTTTTTAAAAAGGCACAGATTTTTTTTAAGTGGGTAAACCTGATAAAACATTTATGAAGTTTAAATTCTATTAAAAGCATTGGAAAGCTTTCAACAACAGTTTAAGTGAAATGGCAGCACAACAACTCATTCTAGTTTAAAATCTGTGCATTGTCAAATATGGTCTAATTGCCTAGCCTGGAATCAAACACTAAGTAGGCACTAGAGTTGGAGCAAGATTTTAGCTCTCCGAAGCTTCAGTTTTCTCATCAGTAAAATGGGAGAATTAATAATATGCATGCCCAAGGATTGCTGGGAAAATTAAATAATCTAATACTGAAAGCCTTTTCCACCAGCTGCCACACAGTAGGTCCCTCAAAATTCCTAGCTATGCACTTTTAGATTATGCATCAAGTTTAGATATTATGGAGAAAAATATGCCATATTGTCAACACAGGTTGTGCATTAGGGAAAAGGTTATTTTTACTTATTGCTTTATACATTTTCATAATTCAAAAATTTCCCCTAATGAAGATGGCTTACGATTTACTACATGGGGCACGAGAGCTTAGCGGAAAGGTGAGACTGCTGTGTACATACCGCTCTGTTCTCTCTCCACCCCCGTGGCCAGGAGGTCAGGCTCTCCCAGGCTGATGTCATTGATCCGTGTCCCCACACACTCCATCTGGAGGACTCTGCACCATTCATCTGCCTCAAGATCTGCAGGAATGGCCCAAAGGTCACAAGAGTGCCCAGCGCCCACTTGAAAGTCAAAGGCTTCCAAAGCTCCCTCCCAACCCTGCCCCAGACAAACCTGATTCGCAAGCAAATGTCTTGGAGGTGTCGTCATTGAAATAAATCCCTATGGCATGCTTCTTGGTGCTCTTCGGCAATCGAGCCACGTTCTTCACGTTGTTGAGCTCCGTCACCTGCACAGTGAACAAGTGAAAAGATGGTCACAGTCCCTGCTGAGCACCTCCAGGCTACAAACCCTGGGGACCAGGGAAAAGCACAGCATGGTGCACAGTACAGGGCCGCTGGACCTGAAAACTGAGAACTGGCCGAGGGAATTAGTGGTAGCTTGAACAGATTCTTTCCACAGAGTGGCACAGGCATAGACAATTTGCTTCAAGTTTCTTTTTCTGTTTCTTCTTTAAATTGTCCGAAAGTGTTTCTACCTTCTCGATAGTTCTCAAGTCCATCTCCATACCTGTGGACAGGCTTTCGCATCGTCCCTTCTGAGTTCTCCCCGTGGGCAGATCCTAAACACTTGGAGCCTGGAGGAGGGGAGGGAAGGGAAGAGGAGGAGATGGGAGGGGAGGGGGGCCAATTCATCTAAATCATCTCACTGCCAGTCATAGATGGAGTGTCAGGAGTCCAGAGAGTCAAACCACACATACCAACATGGAATCAATAACAAATTTGGTTTCCCAAACATTTTCACCCTGTCCTGGTTTCCAGGCCCCTGTTTTGCAGCATAAGACCACTCACTGCACATTCCCACCATATTCCTATCAGCAAGAAGCCTGCCCCTATCAGACACTCTGTCTGTTTCCCTTTCCCACAACTCCTTGCACCCCCCCCAGCACTTTCGTACACCCCAAGGGTGTGCTCCCCTGTGGAAACACAGTGACAGTTCTGTCCTCTTTCTCTCCTGCATTGGAGGGGCAGCCTATGTGGGTCCTGCCAGAAAGAAGTCTTAGATAGCTCTAGGGTAAGTATTTACAAGATAAATAAGCCTTTCACAGTGACAAGTTTAACCTCCCCTTAATATATCTCTTTTGTGCTGTTGTACAAAAGAATCTGCCACCCATCAATCTTAGCCTGCAATGGTGCTATTTTTCTCCCATCTATTACTCTAAATTCAATAAACGCTTGGCTCAAGAAGTAGGTAGGAAGAGAAATAAACACCCCGCACATGCTGACCCGATTACTTCATTCCCTGCATCTTACCTTCCACTGGCCCTTTCTTAGCTTGGAGTCACAAATAGTGCACCTCAGACCTCGCCACACAGGTGCCTCCAGGGGCTCAGCACATCTCCTACACCAGCATTGACTCCCTCAGAGCTGTCACATGCAATGGGTGATGTTGTTGTCCTTGTGTATACCACCACCCCAGTACAAGCTATGGTCATATTGCCACAGCTACTTATTGGTCTTCATTTGAACTTCCATTTTTGAACCCCAGTAATTCACTTTTCAAGTAGCAGATGATCTTCCAAAACGTAAGATTTTCGATATTTCAAAAACTTTCAAAACTTAAGATTTTGATTTTTCTATGCATAAAGCATAGAAAAGACTTCCTATTGCCCTAGAGACAAAGTCCCAGTGCTTTGGTCCAGGGGACCTCGAGACCATCTGCTGTCTCCCTGTGCATCTCACCAGCATGCTCTATGCTGCCCATGTCGCAGCAAGCTGGACTTCATTTTGTCCCCAGAAGACTCCATGGTCCCCCAAGCACAGAGCCTTCTCTCCTCTCCCCAGGTCACTCCTACTCACCACAGGTCTTGGTGAAATTTCATTATCCACAGAGGCCATGTGGGAAACCCCACCCCAAGATTCAATTGGTCTCAAGCTACCATCCAGTGACACCCTGTGCCTTCCCTGTACCCTCCACAGGCCATAGGACTTACTGGTTCAGTGCCTGCCTTGCCTCTGGAGGGAAAGTTCCATAAGGAAGGCAAATTGTTCATTTACTTTACCTACCACTGGGTTTTTTGAGTCTAACACAGAGTCTGCCACACAGTGGAAACTCAATAAATACACATAGACTCTATGAACCAAAGACCTCACCCACCCACAAACTAACGCACAGGGAGCTTCAGGCCTCTTTTCTCCAAATTTCACTTTGCTTTCCAGGCCCAGGTCTTCTGGGAAATGTGCCCTGACCTCAGGGTGAGTTGATTAGTACCTCTCTGTGATCCCCACATCCTGCACTGTAGATCTATTTGTAGATTAGAGTACTTGTAATTCATCTATTTGTTCATCTCCAGCTCCCAGCTAGACTTGAGTCACTGGCAATGACTTCTGATGGAAAGCATCAATGAAAAGCAACCTTACAGACAGCCATTATTGAGCCCCTATCACATGCTATATCCAGAATGAATCATCTGACCTTTGTGAAAGCCATAGAGGTGGATGCTATCATTATAGCATTTTGCAGATGAGGACACTGAGGCTGAAAAAGGTTAAAGTCACACCTAAAACAATGTCAGCACAAAGACATGAACGAAGCAAACTGACCCCAGGGCCAGTTTCTTACTCCATCTGAAACACTCATGACTAACCTTGAAAATTTCTAGACCAATCCAGATATGTTGGCCACAGCTGTAACCCAGGTGACTTGGGAGGCTGAGGCAGGGGGATGTAAGTTCAAGGCCAGCCTGGGCAACTTAGCCAAACCCTCTCTCAAAAAATAAGATAAAACCAGCTGGGTTGCAGTTCAGAGAGCACTTGCCTTGCATATGCAAGGCCCTGGGTTCCCTCCCTAGCACTTTAAAATAATTAAATAAATAACAAAGAAAACCTTCAGCAGAGGATGTGTAGCCCTTGAAATTGTTTCCCATTTAGGACCTCTTTCTTTTCAATGTGGTTCCTCTCTGCAGACGCAGGTAGCATGTGTGCCAGGCTTAACCCTCCACTGAGACATTATTTAAGAGTAGTCCCACTGCAGCCTGAGATGCAGCCATGACTTTGAAATATGTCACTTCATTACAGACCCATTAAGGGCAAAGAGGAAGACATAAGTCACCCAACCAGTCAGGAAATGTAACAGGACTGCATGAGTCAGTCACTATTGCCCACTCTGGAAATTAGTTTAGACAGTAAGCACTGCGACACCCCTGCTCAGGGGAGGCTAGAGAGGGTTCACAGGGCAGGCAGAGTCCTGAGGTTCCAAAGCAACCTTCTGGGTTTGCACATGCACACACCTGGCTTGCACACACACACACTCATAAACACACACCTACACTCATATACACACCGTTCTCACAAACTCATACCTACACTCACACATTCACAGACACACTCGCACATACTCATTCACACCTACACTTACACAGACACTCACAAATTCACCCACACTCATACACTCACACTCATGTACACACACACACACTCACACATGCTTACACTCTACTTTCACAAACTCACACTCACCCACTTGTACACTCTCACACATACATACACACCCACACTCTCACACATACATACACACCCACACTCTCACACACGCACACACAAACCTTACTTTCCTTGGAGCTGGATCTCCATAATTTATAACAGAAGCTTCCTCAGCACACGTGCTCGAGCAGTGACTGTAATGGCTAAAATGTGCAGAGAGCTTCAGGAGCCACATAAAACTTTTGTCAAACGTACTCATCCCCACCATTGCTTCTCTCGACAAATGAGAAAACCAAGGCAGGACGTATTTCTTAATATTCCTTTGACAAGGCAATCATCTGACCCAGAAGAGTCACTTTTAAAGCCAACAAGGGTCTCAGTAAAGTCTCAGATTCTCCTTCCACATCAATGTTACAGAAGTGGGGGCCAATCAGCCTGCACCAGTGCACCTGACCCTCAGGACTGACTGTGATAGACCCTCAACATTCCCTCACCGAGGACGGCGCTCAGGACTGGGGGGGGGGAACAATGCCTTCTGTGCACCTTCAATCTGACTCTTCAAAGTCCTTCCAAAGCCCCCATATTTTACAGCACAGCTCAACCCACAGGCACAGCTGACCTCCTCAGGAGCTCTGACTGCTTCACGGTGCAGTGGCTGTCTGTCTCAGCAGTGGCCTCCAGTGCAGGAACCTGCGTGTGACCTCACAGGAGAGTTCTTCGCCGTGTGCCTAGATCTACAGTCCCGCTCCCAGCATCCGTCCTTGCCTCCACCATCCACCCGGTGTCCGATTCCTCCTTATTGCTATGTCCTTACTTATTTGTTTGTGGCATTTACCATGTAGAGTCAAGTGTGGGGTCAGGGCGTGGAGGGCGGCAATATCACGGCCCTCCTGGAACTTATTTGTCAGTAAAAACAAGTTTTCATCAGGCTGGGTATAAGGATGTGCTCTGAGGACAAATCAATCGGCCTGAAGGATTTAGTCTGGCTCAGGGGCATTTCGCTAAGAAGCTCTTTCTGAGAAGCAAGCCCTTGAGCAGAGGCTCCATGGCCTGACGGAGTGCAGCATGTACACCCGGGGCCCACCATTCCACACACAGGCTCTCTCATTGCAAAGGACCTGAAGCAGAGCTACATGGTTGGCAAGGACTCAGCTCACAGATTTTTGCAGAGGACCCCTGCCTTTGACATCTGCATTCTAGAATGAGCCAACCCTGCAGTCCCTGCATCTGCTCATCTACCTTTCCATAAAGCTGTGCAAAGACAGAGGAAGAAGATCAGCATCTCTAAGCCTTTTTTATTTTCCCTTCAATTCCATCAAATCCCGTTTAGTTACTTTCTTCTTTTTGTTTCTTAGTGAAAAATGCAATACTTGCGTGTGGTAGAAAAATACAATCATACAAAGAGATGAACAGTATGAAATCTACCCAGATGCTTAAGTCTCCAGCACAACACAGGCACAAGAATATGTCAGCGTGTAATCAATGAATATCTAAACCTATTAAAGAAAGGGGAGCAAACCCCACACACCTTGCTGATCCCATACAATTATTTCTGTCTTGGATATGGACTTTCAACATTGTATATTTCTATTAAAAACGAATTTGATTCAATTAAAGTAAGGTATGTTCTGCAGACTTAGCCAGATACTCTTTAAACAATAGTGTGGTTCTTTTAAATTAATATATTAATCCCTACATACAAATTAAGCTATAGTTTCACTATGATATGTGGGGAGTATATCCAGGTGACTGATGCTGGGGTAGCCCTCCTGGCCCCAAAGCACACTCCTGGTTTTCCTACAGCAGC